CACTTAAATTAAATTTTATTATTTTAAAATGTTCCAAAATTCTTTTTAAATAAAAAACATTTACTCTTATTGTATTTAATGTTATTAAAAGAGAAACTTAAGCGAAAGTACGTGAAGCAAACGATCCGCCATAAAGCAATTTTGTAAGAAATGTAAGGTAAGCCTAAGAAAGCATAATAATAATGAATAAATTTTTCAAATTTCCTCTCAAAATCATACACCTAAATTATTCGTTAAAAGTGATACAAGCACAAGCTGTCGTACGCCACTTACTGTCGAAGCGGCAGCTGAAAATTGCCAATACTCATCAATATAATGATTATGATTATAGCTAGATAATATGATGGAGGCGTGCCATTAAGCAAATGACTATCGAATTTGGCGAATAAAAATGCGTGGTGACAAAATGCAAGATGATACATACACAATGGGCATTAGCGGCAGTGTACGTAAACGCAAAGGCGATGCGAAGCTTGAAAAGATATTCCTCTGCTCATGTACAAAAAAGGCCCACAATTATGTTATACATATAAAGTATAAACATATAAAATATGCCATTATTAACTAATTTTATTGGAAAAGCTAAAAGCTGCGTCGATTTAACCACAAAAGTGGAAATTTAATATTAAATAAATTAAAAAAAAAAAAACGGAACATAGCTGCAGGACCGTATTTATTTCTTTCTTTCACGCTGCTCTGAGGGCAATATATACCATATTTACCCCAGAAGTGGGTCATGTTAGCCGTCAACAGCTATTAATTGTTTGCGGCTAACCACACACGAACTTATCAATCGAAGCTCCCACATAAATTTTACCGCAAACACACTTAAATACTTGCTTGCAGTTTGTTATATACGAGTATGTACTCGTATACGTATTTTCTTAGACTTGGAGAATTTAATAATAACTTTTCTACAAGAAATTAGGTCAAATCTAAGGAAAATATTTTGACTTTACACAGCTGCCATAGCTCCTTGCACGAATTACACATAAATAGTTTTATGAGAGTTTAAATACACTCTGCAACAATATTTCTTATAACTTTACTGATGTATGTACGCATGAACATATGTATATGTATGAATCGAGTTGTAAGAACTGGCTGATGATTTATAGTGTTTGCATTTGTTGAAGGCTTCGTTTCTGGGTGGTAAGTAAGGCCCAGTAGCTGACGGCAGAGCCGAGTGAACGAAGGATATGTGCATGGTAAGAAGTCAGTGAAAGAAAAATTGTTAGACTTATATAAGTATGTAAGTTCAATAAATGGGTGTGTGCAGACAGTAGTGATGTATTATTGTAATAAATATTTTTTTTTGTTATTTATACGTTATTCAGAGTGTGTATGAAATATGAAGGCAACGGCTTTTGCTTTCGTGTTAAATTTAAGCTCATAAATAGTGTAACAACAGTTATAAAAGAGTCGCTATTGATTTATATAAATATTGTACTACTTGTGGGTGAAATGAAAATATTTTTCCTGCTCATGCTTACATTCTTATTTTTATGTTTAGTTTTATTATTGAGCTTAAATAAACAAAAATATAATTAGTAAAAAAGAATTAAACTAATATTGAATTAAATGTAATCCAAAACAAAAATAAAAAATAAACATAAGAAAATTAAATAGACTAAAGTTAAATAATATAAAAAAGAGAAAATATTTAAATAAGTTTAATTAAAATAAAATAAAATAGAATTATAGAATGAAATAGCTCGTAAAAAATAAACAAAATAAAAAAATTAAAAGGTTAAATAAATTAAAATAAAATAAAATTAAAATAAATAAATTTAAATAAATGAATTCATAAAACTAAATAAAATATTACAAAAAAATAGAATAAAAAGGGAATAAAAAAACAAGGTATAACTAAATTAAATATTATAAATAAATAAAAAAAAAACTAAATAAACTAAAAAATAAAAATATATTTAAATAATAAAAATTAAATTAAATAAATTTAAATAAAAAATAATATTAAATTAAATTAACTGTTATAAAAAATAGAATAAAATAGTAGAATATAAAATGCAAAAATAAAAAATAAATTAATATAAAATAAAATAAAATAAAATAAAATAAAATAAAATAAAATAAAATAAAATAAAATAAAATAAAATAAAATAAAATAAAATAAAATAAAATATAATAAAACAAATTGAAATGAAATAAAATTAAATTGAATAAAATGAAACAAAATGAAAGAATATAGAACAAAATAAAATAAAACCAAATCAAATCAAAGAATATTAAATTACATAAAATAATATAAAATAAAAAAATAAAGTAAAACAAAACAAAACAGATCAAAATTAAACGAAATACAATAAAATTAAATAAAACAAATCAAAATAAAATTAAATAAAACAAATTAAAATAAATTAAACATTATATAATAAGTAAAATAAAATAAAATTAAATTAATTATTATAAAATAAAACAAAACAGAATTATCTCAGTTTCAGACATTCACAAAATATGTTATAATAAAATAAATAAAAAATAACGTACAAACAAATTAAATTTAATGCAACTTAATACAATATTAAGATTTCAACTAATTTAATTCAATTAAGTTCAAAAAAAATAATATCAAATTTATAAAAAAAATGGTGATATCACAAGTTTAGTGTCATTCTTGTTTAAGAGGGTAGATATTGTATTTACCCTGTAGTGTTAAGTCATAGACCTTATGGTTAATAAGAGGGTTAGACTCAGTTTTTATTATTTTACTTATGTTACTTTTTAATAAAATAATCAAAAATCGTAATTTCCACATTTATTTGTGCATATGCTTGGGAACTTCCACTACCTTCTTAATTTGTGTAATAACGCCAAATTTAATGGCAACTTCAGAAATCTTACTGCTCGCTTATTAAATTATTAAAATTATGTCAACAGCATTAACAGTTTACTGCAACACGAGACACGCACTGTGGCACATACGTTTACGCATTACATGAAATGAAATTCAGAAAAAGCTCATAATTTGATGTTGCAACAGTCATACAGGCGGCAGTAGCCACAGCAAAGGTATCATTTTACTGGCAATGTGACTACATCAACATTTATTTACACTTGAATGTATGTACATATGTGCATGCTCATAACTTTGTATAAGCATATACATACGAGTATAAATAGTGTATGGAAATGTAAATGTGAGCAACCCGCTGAAAGCCAAAGGCGCTGCGCCATGCCACGCCAACCTCATTACACGACACAACAAACAGTTAGCTGCAGCCACGCAGCCACGTCGCGACCTCACCGGGTGGACCGACGTTCAAAAAAGCGACAAATTTAAAATTTGCAACGTCAACAAAAGTAGCAAAATCAGCAACAAAAACAACAGCAGACAGGAACCACAATAGTGGCAGGCAGCAGTGCAAAATTTTGTATATTCTTTGATGTTGCTTGTTGTTTTTTTTCCTGTGGTGTTGTTTGTTGTTGGCACAGCATCACCAGCGATACCAGCAAAACTTTGTTCTTTTTTTATTGTTACTGCTGACTGCACCAACCATGGGCTTTGCGTAATTCGAATTTAATGCCATGTTTTTTGTGCTCGTTTTTTGTTGTTGTTTTTTTTTTTTGATATGCGAAAAAGCCGCACGTCGATGCATTCGCCAAAAGGTTGGCTAGACTCTAGCCGAAAGTGCTATAAATATGCATAACAATTTTTATATGAATATGTAATGGATGTGTTGTGGTGTGTACGAGTGCAGTCGCTTAAATGTATACAAACCTACACTCTTAAATATTTATTTTTGTCGCAACAGCGCATTACGTGGCACTGTCCGACTGCGTTCCGGCTTGGCTGCCTTTCATACAAAGTCCCAGCAATACAATGGCGCTCGATACATACCTATAGCAAAGGATACACACTTGGGAATTTGTAGACACACGCACACAGCACCAACAGACATAGATTTGTATGTATGCATACATTAAAAGTTACAAAATCGCTGTGGAATCGCAGAAGTGTGTATATTTTATGCCCAGCAAACGGATTCGGTTCAACTTCCATTGACTCTTTAATATACATATACACATATATATACATATATATATATATATATATATATATATATGTGTATACGCTGGACGAGTGGAGTTGGAAGTCTTTAATATTTGCTTTTACTGAACGTTTCTGGCTTCAATTGCCCTGCTTTGCTCTGACTGATGCAAATTTGTATGTAAATTTTTAAGTTTTCAATGCGTTTACATTGTATAGTCTACTTTTAGGCGTTACCATGCCATCAATGAAATTTTGCTTGGCTGTTGCCTTAATCGCACCAGGCGGTGCATTGAAATTTGCAAATCTGTATGTAAATGTATGTATATCCCTATTGAATTGTATGTAATGCGGACCGAGTTTTGATTAGCTTTAAATTGAGGGATTTCCACACTTTCCCTTGCCTCTTATGTTTTGCTTTAATTTGTCGTTTGCAGCGATATTAATTTATGTAACTCTATTGCTTTACATATACTGTCAGTTTTGTTGGCACATTAAAGTTTGCTCTGAGGGCTATATGCTGATCAAATTTTGAGTTCAATCGCAAAACCTGGAGTTTTTTTTTATTTTTGTAATGATTTCATTAATTTGTACTATATATTTTTGTAATTACCTTTTATTTTTAAATTTTTATTTACTGTGGCTTATATTTTATTTTGTTTGTTTTACTATATTTACACAATTTTATTATTTTATTTTATTCCATTATTATTTATTTTTACCTTTTTTTAATTTTAAATTTATTTTAAATTTGCATTATATTTTATTTAATTTTATTTCATTTACCTGACTTACTCCTTAAAAATATTTTAGTACATACCTGCATATAAATATATCTATATTTATGCATGGCGTACATATTTACCTATTACGTATACATTTATAGAATTACAAAAATATTGCTTTCCCATAAATCTTTCAATCTTCAAATTTAATTTCCGATTTTCTAATAATTTCCTCTTTATTTTCTCTTTCCTTATATTTACAGTGCAGTATTCGAAAATAATCAACTTTTACAACAATCGTGCGCATCAATCATACAATTTGCGTTACGTCACACGAACGACCATCTCACCCAATACCCATAAGCCTAGGCGTCACGCTAGCAGACACATCATGCCGTACGCATACATTTCAACTTCAAACAACATACCTACACCGCACTCACCCGAGAGTAAAATGCCAGCAAAGACAACGTCGTCACAGACGTCATTCGCAGTGACACACCCCCACACGTTGCACAGTTTACAGCAATTGCTGCTGCCACTCAAAATCATCGCCTTTATCAGCATCGTCGTCTCGTCGTCATCATTGATCTGCGTGACGCAGGCTAAACACCTGTCAAACGATGCCAATATTGGTGCTGGCGACATGGCGGCACTAGACGACGCATATTCTGCCTCCATGCCGTCTATCTCCTCATCGTCTTCGTATTATGGCGCTTATCAAAATCAACGCTTCGCTATGGAACCTCAAGACCAGTCAGCTGTGGTGGGTGCACGTGTTACGTTACCGTGTCGCGTCATCAATAAACAGGGCGTACTACAGTGGACGAAAGATGATTTTGGTTTGGGTACATCACGTGATTTGGGCGGTTTTGAGCGTTACTCAATGATTGGTAGCGATGAAGAGGGTGATTACTCGTTGGATATTTATCCGGTGATGTTGGACGATGATGCACGCTATCAATGTCAAGTGAGTCCAGGACCGGAAGGTCAACCGCCCATACGTTCGACATTTGCAACATTGACGGTGTTGGTGCCACCGGAGGCGCCTAAAATTACACAAGGCGATGTGATTTACACAACAGAGGATCGAAAAGTGGACATTGAGTGTGTGTCGGTGGGCGGTAAACCAGCATCGGAGGTAAGAAAGATAGATATTTTTCTAATAAATATAAGTATTAAAAGCGGGAGTGAGTGGGTAGTAAGGAATAACTTCTGAAAAATAGTAGAAGGCTATTTTGCGTGGAAAACCTAAGTTTTAAGCTTTTACTACTGAAATATAAAAGAGCTCCTTTAAAAGATTTCTTGCAACAAAAATGCACTGAAATTCAATACAATAAAAGCCCGACTGTCGCGAGAACTATTGTATTTTAGTCGCCTCTTTACGACAGCCATGTCTTACCACGGATAAATTCCTGAACCCATAACCCGCAGGGGAATTATAAATTTATTAATATAACGGCATTATTTATATATCTTTATTAACATTATTTAACAATTATTTTCTCTTTTAATTTGTAATAAATAAAATTCGTGAAAAAAGAGAAGGTGAAAATTTATATTTATTTAATTTTTTTTAAAGTAACACTTTTTTTTTAAATTAGAGATTAATATAATAGAACTATTAATTTGTTTTTTTTTTTTATCAAATCTGTTGATTTAATAATAAATGCGTGCTCATCTCACGGGTATTTTACCAACATACATACGCAGAGAATTCAAAGTTGAATGCCTTTTATGGCCCATAACTGTTGCAGGCAAATAATGTCACTTTTCGTTAAAATAAAAACCGGATCAGAATCAATGACGTACAAACAATAATAACAAAGAAGAAAAAAAGCTACAAAATATCATATAACCAAACAAATATCAGCCACACACACACGCGCAATAACCTCAAAACACCGTTTTTATCACTCCCCCTTCGTATTGCTTTATATATGAATAAATATAAAAATTTGTGCGCACATACACCTGTGCGCTTTTGTCAATAATATCCAGCTATTTTGCAACTCGGCATATTTGCACAAATTTATGTTTTAATTTGTTATACTTTTTTTCTTGGCATATTTCATCCTGCCACTGACGCCGCAAGTCGAATAAACCACACCACAACTCGTACGAGTACTCGTTTGTGTGTTTCGCCACCCACAATCCATACAGCTGTCATCAGCATAAAGCTAACCACACATCATCACACTTTTACAATTTGATCCTCACACGCTTATCCTTTAGTCCTGCTTGTTTGTTGCTCCAGTGTGTGTGTGTGTTTGTGTGTGTGCAGCCATGGTTGTGTTTGATGTGTGTATATTTTGTATTTCCATTCATTTATTCACTCGCTCACTTACTGTGTTTATTTATTTGTTTTATGTATGCTTTGTTGTTGCTGGTTTTTCATTGTTTTTTTATACATCTTTTTGCTGTGCTTTTATTTGCAGATAACGTGGATTGATGGACTTGGCAACGTTATAACGAGTGACATTGACTACACTACGTTACAGATGCCGGATGAACGTCGCTTCACCGCTCAATCGACATTGCGGTTGACACCGAAAAAGGAGCATCACAATACGACATTCACTTGTCAGGCACAAAATACGGCAGATCGTACATATCGCTCGGCGCGAATACGTGTGGAGGTGAGTGTAGAGTATCGAGAATGCTCTGAATTTGAGTGCAAATAAATGAGTCAACGACGGATGTTGATTGCTGAGATGTACTCGTGTATAGTATTTACATAACAGCATATAACTGTACTTAAAAGCATTGTCTATTTATTAAACGAAGGATAGCTTGCATACCTACGAGTGGGTACGAACAGTACTTCGTGAAAGCTGAAGCTTAAAGTTGGCAATGCAGTAAGAGTGGTAATCAGAGATGAGATGAACAGGGATAAAAGGAATCAGCAGAAGTCATTTCAAAGAATTTTTGAGTTTAAGGGTGTCAGAACCGGCAGTCCCGATATCGGGTTATGATAGAAAGTTGTTTAACCAGCTACAGTACCTAGCTCGCATAAAATTCCAATCCGTTCTTTTCGAGAAAGTTGAACTGCTCTCTTCCAAGTCAATCCAACATGTGTAACATAGAATCGAACGGGCTCCCTAAAAGATATATATTATTTAGCTATGCTCTTACACGGTATTTTTAAACCAATTCTTTTCTTCTTTTTGGCTCAGGGTATAAACATAAGGTGGAATAGAGAATCATGCATTCTAATCCTGATTAAATTGACATCTAAAAATTTTTTTCAAAATACGTTCTTCCCACGACAGAAAATACTACTATCTGAGGCAGTAATTCTGATGTCAATTGAAAGCGCTCAGTCCTTCGGAGACGATTCAAAGGTCCATCCGTTGGCCGAAAATCGCTTAAATTATTATAAAGTGTCATATATATATACATATATAAAATTTCAAGTATTTTAAAGCGCGATCCAAGACCTGATCATGTCGATAGCACATCAATTAATGAAGAGTACGGGCTTGCAAAAATAGCACAGTGGTGTAAAGATCGCTTGAGTTTATTCTCCTTCCGACATATCAGACAGCAACTCTCATCATATACAGGAACTGAAATTTTAATGCCGAAAAAGGTTCTTCTGATCATTCATTCCTTAAGATATGTCAGAAGGATGTAGCTATGCTTATGATCTCGTGTTTTTCTCACTGACAGACCGAAGGTCTTACTGTTTGCAGTGTCTCTGGATGATCTCAATTCGATCATTAAACGCACACTGTGGGCCGATGATAAGTCCATAAATCAATAGCGCTTCATAAGCACAATATTTCGGAGATCTTTATCTTAGACACACCTTCTTAATCGAACTGTGGATCATCTGAAAAAAGCTCTAGAGGCAGGAAGACTCTAAGGGAGATTCAAAAAAGAGCTCGCCAAAGTAATTTAAACCATAACAATTATAAATGATCATATAACTTAGTTAACTTGAATCCGCCTCTAACGATACCGACCCATCAGCTACCCCTTGCAGAGGATAACGAATACTAAACCAGATCGATTCGAACATTCAGTGATCCTTTTCTTGAGCCCGTCTTGACTCAGAAAACCTAAAAATAGCTGACTAACAGTGTTTTCCATCAAAAAAAAAATTCCAAAGTGTTGCATGCAAGCTTATACAATGTATAAAAATATTTTCATACATCATCTACACTTATATGTATGTATGTATGTTGATGACAATCATAACGGCTTGTCAACGCCTTCGGCTGTCAACCAATAATCAGCACCAACAACACGTACAATTTACGCATATCTACTCGCTGTGTGGTCGTTAAGCGCCTTGAGCATAGCTAAGAAAATGCAAAAAAACACAAAACACCGTTAGATTATTGAATAAAAACCAGTTTGATTTAAGACTTTGTTGCACTACTGTCACAAGCAGTCGATTATATATAGTTCACACAAATTTTCTAAATAAAACGTTTAGACATATACCATATATATATATATATCGCATATATATATATATTTTTTTATTCCTTTCCAGGTAAAATACGCACCAAAAGTTAAAGTCAACATAATTGGCGGTGCGTTGGAGGATGGACGTATACCGGAGTTTGCTCAGGTGCGATTAGAGTGCAAAGCGGATGCCAATCCCAGTGATCTGCGTTATCGCTGGTTCATCAACGATGAACCAATTGTTGGTGGACAAAAAACTGAAATGGTGAGTTACATACACACATACATATAAACAATAGCAATGCACATGAATGGTTTTAAGGAGGAGGAAAAAGAAGAAGAAGAAGTGGAAAGAAATAGTGCAAAGCGAATTCATTGAAGTGAAGCTAAATTTGTAAAATGATAAGGAGCAGGAAGCAGAGAGGGGACCTACAATAGCAGCAGCAGCACCGTTTCACCGATTGGGAGTGGAGTGCATTGTGGTAGTTAAAGAGCTAGTTGCGGCTTGTTGAAGTGAATGGGTTAGCAATGATTTGGGTTGAGGTTAATGTGGAGTGGCAGTTGCAGTTGCTGCAACACGCCTTAATGTTACATTTACACACACACACACACACACCAGTATGTGTATACAATATGTACATATATAAGTGAGTTGTGTCAGCCAGTAAGTGCAACAATTGTTCTTGCTTAGCAAGCTGCCAGGTCACTCACAGTTTTTTTTTTGTGCAACCATGTACGAGTATATCTAATAAACATAATATCAGGCGCAATCAATTAGATTGCGCAAAAAGCACCAACATCAACAACAACAACAATAACCAGATTTGCAGTTCGTCGGTGATTACGTCTGCCACATAATACCGTAGATGCATTTCTAGAGCAAATGCCACACATATTATGCTTATTCCTGTTTGATTCTTACCTCGACAATGTACATAGTGCCACAACGATTACGCGAACGCTTTGATTGTTACGTGTTGCAAGCGTTTGTAGTTGGTAAAAGCACTCGTTGAATGTAGAATTTGAAATACTACTAGGTATTTAGAAAGTAGTAACCAGTTTGGTTATTGCAGCTGCTACAACTCTCTCAGCTTTTTCTGAATCCACATATATATTGTATAAATATATACAGATATGTGGTAGGCGGTTGGTGAGGGGAAGCATTGCCGCCATGATCGTGATCATTTGTTGCGATAACAAATTGAGTCGCTACAATTTCGCGCCGCTGGAGCAGTTGCTACTGGCATATCTATAGCTAGAAGAAAAATCAAAAAGTCAACAACAAAGCATATGCAAGTTTTAGAGCAGTGGAAATTATTCTTGTGTTATTTATTTTCCATTTCATTTATACTACTTCATTACGTTTTTCGTTATGTCTTTATATATTTTATTAATTTATTTATATTTAATTCTATTATAAATAGTTTTATTTTATTATTTATTGTTTATTTCATGAATTATTTGATTTTGTATTTTATTACATTTTTTGATTTTACATTATTTATATATATTTTGTATGGTAAAATTAACTTTTTTTCAATTTAATAAACTTTATCATATTTTTTTTTGATTACTTTGTTTTATTTTTATTTCATTTTATTGTAAATAAAAAATATTTTGTTTATGTTATTCTATTTTTACTTTTTATAAATGTTATAATCGTTTTAAATTGGATTTGATTTTTTAATTTTTTATTTGATTTAAATTTGGTTATAATTTTATATTATTTTACTTTATTTTATTTTGTTTTGTTTTATTTTCATTTTATTTTATTTTGTTTTATTATATTTTTTCTTTTATTATAATTTTTTTGTTTTATTATTATTTTAATTCAATTAATTTTTTTTAAACTTCTTTTGATTTACTTGACTATATCCGAATTATTTTAATTTATTTACTTTATATTTTGTTACATTTTATTTTTATTATTTAATTTAATAATTATTTGTATATTTTGTTACATTTAATTTTATATACTGAACGTAATTTCATTGTGATTTTATTTATTTGTTGACAAGAACTAATTTTTTTTATTCAATTTTTATTTTACATTATTTTGTTTTATATATTAAAATGTATTTAATTTAATTTTTTCTTTATTTTGTTTTGTTTGATTTAATTTTTTTATGGTTTTATTGATTTTTGCTAATTTATTTATTTTATTTTATATTATTTACATTTTTGTTTATCTTAATAATTTTTTTAATTTAAATAATATAGTAGATTATCATTTTAGTTTACTTTATAATTTTTAAAGTAATTAATTTTTTTCATTAATAATTAATAAAATTTATTAAATTCAACTTAATTTAATTTAATCTAATTTAATTAATTTATTCCATTATTCCCAATTTTGTTTTATTTGATTTTAATTTCTTATAGTTTTATTGATTTTTGTTTATTTAATTTTTTTCTTATATTATAATTAATTTTTTTTTTGTTTATTTTTTATTAATTTATTTTAATTAAAGAATATAGTATAAAATTACTTTATTTTACTTTATAATATTTTTTGAAGTAATTTATGCTTCTTTCCATTAATAATTACTAAAATTTAATTAAATTTAACTTAATTTAAAAAAGTGTAATTTAATAAATTTTTTTTTTCTATTTTTATTACTACTTGATTTAATAGATTTTAATTTTTTTTCTTTGATCTTATTTTATTTTATATCATTTTACTTTATTTTGTTTTACTTCACTTCATTATATATCTTCATTTCTGAATTTTATTATTTAATTCATATTTTACCACTTAAATTAGAAATTGCTACGTGCCGAATAAAATAAATTCTTGTTTTTGTTATGGTAACAGGGCGTATAAGTTACTCTTAATTACACTTATCAACATTATGCTACGAGTCATTAATTTCTTTATATTCCATTTTGTGCATTCACACAAACAATCGTGACTTAACCTGTCTCTTGATATGCAATAGCCGCCATAAAAGCCAAATGGCTGCTAATAGCAATGTTTAATACAGCGTAGAGTCCATCCATATCTCTGTATCTTGGCCGGTATGCCAAGTCCAGTTAACCGCGGCGTCATTTTAAAACATCAAAACTATTTTCTTGCAACATGTGCAACATATACACATGCATATGCGGTGGTGATTAAACATACGCAAATATGTGCTCGTAAATATCAAGAGGAGTAGCTGTATTAGTAAAAGAAAGCCGCAGAAAAGATCTAACTAATAATCACAGACAACGTAAAGACTTAAAAACGTTCACAACGCTCACAAAATGGTTATGCAAAGCAACCAGTTTAACCGATATTGATATGAAAACGTTTTTCAACGCCACTACTTTGAGTCGTGCCACGGGTTTAGTTGAATTCAGTTGCATACAACGACTTCTAAACGTCAGGCCATAACAAATTATGAGAACTAACAGCCTGTTTTGGCCACACAAACACGCACACACATGCATGCATACTCGTATACGAGTGCAATGCGGGAAGTTGGCGGCGTTTGTAATTGTTGTGAAAATTGCAGTTGCTGGCAGCTGTTGATCAACTGGTTGCAGGTACGATAGTTGGTAGCGAGTTTATATTATATATTATACTATATAGTTCTAGCGAATAATTTGCTACTTGCCATGGTTGGAAAGGGGAGGACGGGCTTTGGAGTTTTAAATTGCTAGAGAAATTTGTTTTTGTTCTTAATGTTGCAGCAACTGGTTTGTGTAACATATGTATGTATATGTTATATTAAATGAAGACAGAAATTATAGAAATTTTATAGGAAAAAGCTAACGGTAACATTTTGTAAAAAAAATAAATAAAAATCATTTTGTGACCAGATTTCCTTAATAAAAAACTGAATGAAAGGAATTTTCTTGTAATTTTCAGGTTATTCGAAATGTTACACGCAAATTTCATGATGCCATCGTCAAGTGTGAAGTCCAAAATTCAGTGGGCAAGAGTGAAGATAGTGAAACGCTGGACATCAGCTGTAAGTGTAATAAAATAATTTTCGTACAAACATATATGTAAATTTTCAATTAAACCAGAAATGCGGTGAAATATCTAATATTACCGTGAAAATACCTTATAAACCCTTCTTTTAAAAGTGCACACTGACTCCATGAAGATGGAATATTTTTCAGCTTCAATCAAAATTTTAATTAATATATAAAAGTTTTTTATGTTTATTGTATAACTACACAAATTTCTTTATTTCATTATTTATATTTATTTTCTAACAAACACAGATGCACCAAGCTTTCGCCAGCGTCCACAATCTATCGAAGCGGATGTCGGTACTTTGATATCGCTAAGTTGTGAAGTTGATGGAAATCCCACGCCAGATATTGTATGGATTCAACATCCAAGTGATCGGGTAAGCAAGCATTTGAAATATGTTATCAATTGAATTATATATAATTGGCGCTGAAGTACTCGTAGTTTTTCGGCCAAACTCCTCCTCAAAATCGTTGTTTTGCGTCCTGATGTTTTTCCAACAAATGTAGGGACCTACAGTACATACTAAGCCTCCGAACGGCTGATGTTTTTTTATGAGGAGCTTTACTTCATGTCAGAAATACACTCGGAGGTGTGGACGTTCCCTGCCGAGAGACGACCGCAATTAGAAAATTTAGCTTGATTCTTTCTTTAAACTAATCTTCCATAACTTCTGGATAGTGGTGGCACCGGGATTTGAACCCCAGCCTTCCGAATGTCAGAACGTAATGCTAACCACTCGGCTACTGCGGCCGCCAATTGAATTAATATCAGAAATAAATTTAAAAATGTCATTTTATTAAGATAATTTTTCTTTCGAAAGAGCAATGTTTTCACGAAAACTCCAAGATTTATAGGAAACATTATGCTCTTATTCTCAGTTTAAAATGTAAGTGGCTTTAATTACTTTGCCGGCCGAAATAGTTGGTGGAATGGTTAGAATTGCATACTGCCATTCGGAAGGTACACCCTAAATTGTCGAAAATAAATTACGATAAAAACTAACTTGATTTTTCTAATTCTGATCGAGCTTATCGTAAAACCCCTTCAGCTGTTTAGAAACTAAATATAATTTTTTTCATGTTACTCATTTAACTTTTTCATTTTTTTTATTTTATTTCATTTAATATTATTTTAATGTAATTTTATTTTATTTTGCTTCATTTTTGTTATTATTTCTTTTATTTTGTTTTTATTTACGTTGTTTATTGTTATTTAATTATTCATTTTATTTTTAATTCAATTTAATTTAATTTAAATTATCTCAGTTTTTTGTTTTATTTCATATTATGTTTCTTATTTTATTTCATTTCATTTTATTTGGTTTACTTTAACTCCCCTTTTTCTTTAATTTTTTACCATTTTGTAACTATTCTCATTTTTTTCTCTAAATTGTTCTTTATATTTTATTTCATTTTATGTTAATATGCTTATTCTATGTCATGCCATTTTAAATTTAATTTAATTTTTTTATTTTATTGTACTATATTTTATTTAAATTTATCTTAAATTATTTTTTTTTGTCTTAATTTTTTTGAGTTGTTTACTAATATTTTTCTTTTCGTTTTTTTTATTATTTAATTATTTTATTTAACTTAAATCTTTTGATATTATTTTATTTTACTTTTTTATTGTATTTTGTTTTATTCTAATTTTTTTTAAATTTTATTTGGCTTAATTTAATTCTATTTCATTCCATTTTCATTTTAATTTACATTTTAATTGTTTATTTTTTTGTGTTATGTTTTCTTTTAATTTATCACATCTCATTTTATTTTGTCTTTATTTCTTTGTGTTGTTTATTACTTTTTTCTATTTGTTTTGTTTTTTTTCATAACATTTTTGTTATTATTTCTTTTATTTTGTTTTTATTTACGTTGTTTATTGTTATTTAATTATTCATTTTATTTTTAATTCAATTTAATTTAATTTAAATTATTTCAGTTTTTTGTTTTATTTCATATTTTATTTCATTCTATTTTAAATATAATTTAAATTTAAATTTTATTTTATTATATTTTATTTTGATTCATCGCATTTTTTTTGTGTTGCTTATTAATTTTTTTTCTTTTGTTTTGTTCTTTTTTCATTACATTTTTATTTTTATCCTTAAATTACTTATTTACTTAAATTTTTTTTACTCTATTTTATTTAACTGAAATCTTTTGATATTATTTTATTTTACTTATTTTTTAATTTTTTTTTTAGTTTTATTTGGTTTAATTTAACTCATTTCATTCCATTTTAATTTTAATTTAAATTTTTATTTTTTTTGTGTTATATTTTATTTTAATTTATCGTATCCCATTTTATTTTGTCTTAATTTCTTTTGTGTTGTTTATTAATTTTTTCGTTTTGTTTTGTTTCTTTTTTTAATTACATTTTTCTTTTTAGTTTATTATTTGATTAAGTTTTTTTATTTAATTGTATTTCACTTAATTTTATTGTATTTTATTTAATTTTTTTACAGTTTTTTTATTTTATTTGGTTTAATTTAATTCTATTTCATTCCATTCCATTTAAAATCTAATTTAATTTCTTTTTTTTTGTTTATTAATTGTTTTTTTTTTTTTATTTTATAAGATTTTTTGTTAGTATATTTAATTAATCATTTGCGAAAAAAATGTAATTTAATTTTTTTACTTAAACTTTTGATTTTATTTAATTTAACTTTATTTTATTGTATTTTATTTTTATAAATTTTTTATCTTATTAATCTAATTCCATTTAATTTCGTTTTAAATTTAAATTTCATTTTAATTTATAATTTTTATTTTTTTTTATTTTTTGATTGTGGGTTTTTCATTACATCTTTTGTTTTAATTTGTTTCTTTAATTATTTTATTATAGTTTTTAATTTTTTCTTATTTTATTTACATTTATCCTTTATTTTTTATTTTGTTATATATTATGAAGTACCTTTTTTCATTTTATTTTAGTTCAGATAATTTCTTTAATTTTATTTTATTTCATCGAAATCAAATTTATACTTTAAGGAAATCGATTTTTCCCCTTGGCTTTTCGTAAAGCGCAACTTGATATGTCCTTATGAAAAATAGTTTTTATTTTGATATAAATCATAAATTAAAAATGCTACTATTAATTATTTCGAGTCGTATTGTATATGTATTTATTAACAAATAATTTATTTTTAATTTTCCAATTATTTTCTATTCTGCTTTCCAGGTTGTTGGCATCAACTCCAATCTCACCTTCACCGTTAGCAATGAGACAGCTGGGCGTTATTATTGCAAAGCGAATGTACCTGGCTACAAAGAAATCACCACCGATGCGTATGTTTATCTAAAAGGTTCACCAACCATTTACTCGCCACCCTATCAATTTGGCTGGGTGGGCGATACGGCGCGTATTGAGTGTTCGGCAACTTCTGTACCACGTGCACGTCACGTCTCGTGGACATTTAACGGGCACGAAATCAATGCTGAATATGGGCACGACTATTCAATACTGGTGGATCCGGTGCCGGGTGGCGTCAAATCGACGCTGATCATTCGTGACAGTCAAGCGTATCATTATGGCAAGTACAATTGCACTGTGGTGAACGATTACGGGAATGATGTGTTGGAAATCAATTTGCAGGCGCAAAGTGAGTAAAATCAAAATGCAATTGTAATGTGTTGGCGTGTGTATGTATGTGTTAGTTGATACGTGTAATTGCGTGAGGAAATGATGCATGTGGGTATTGATAGAAATTGAGGGCATTATTTGAAATTAAATGATGGTTGAATAGAAATTAAACTAACATACGAGTATGTAAAAATGTTCATATGGATAAAAGTTGGAGATTTAATTTCAAAACAATTGGTCACGAGAGAATTTTTTAAATTAGTATTTATTTTTACTAAAATTATACCAGACATTCTGTTTAATTTTTTATACATCAAACTTATACAGTGACAAAATAATTATTATTAAGTTTACATTAGTTTTTTTATCAAATTTAAAAATTTTTATCAATAATTTTCAATTATATTTTCTGTTTTCTTTAATAATTTCGCCCACAAATAGAAAAAATTTCGCCCATGATGATTATTATTGGCGGCACCTCAGTCGTTGGCTGTGCCATGATCCTCATCATTATCATTATCGTCTACTTCAAGTGCAAGAAACGCACCAAACTGCCGCCGGCTGATGTTATTAGCGAACACCAGATAAGTAAAAATGGTGGTGTGGCCTGTAAAATGGAAGCTGGCGATCGTACATCCAATTACAGTGACCTCAAAGTGGACATCTCCGGTGGTTATGTACCTTACGGCGACTATTCCACACACTACAGTCCGCCACCGCAATATCTCACCACCTGCTCAACCAAATCGAATGGCAGCTCGACCATATTACAAAATAATCATCATAATCATTTGCAACAGCAGCATATGCAACAAACGCTCCAACATCAGCATCATCAGCAGCATCAACAAACACCACCACCACCACCGACGCAAATAGTACCAATGACATTCCTTTCGAATGGCAGTGCGAGCGGTAGTCTGACGAGTAGTATTGTCGGTTCGCGTGAAATACGACAGGATAATGGCTTGCCGAGTCTACAATCGACGACTGCGTCTGTGGTGAGTTCATCGCCGAATGGCAGTTGTAGTAATCAGAGTACAGCGACGCATGTCATCTCTAGTTCGGTGGCGATGAGCGTGGATCCACGCTACAGCGCCATTTATGGTAATCCATATTTGAGATCATCGAATTCATCGCTCTTGCCGCCACCAACTGCGGTTTAGAGTATAAATATCATGCAATAAGTACTTTGGTAGCTTCGTCTGTTGTAGAACGGCAAACTATAGAATTGAAAGACTGATCTCAAAAGCATAAAAAATTGTGTGTACGGCAAATGCGTTTTGACAACATCGTCGGCAGGTAAGAGCTGGTGGACTATTGTATTATTCTTAGGACATAAATCTCGAAACAATTTTTTTATTAATTTAAAAAATTTTGTATTTTACTTTTAACGCCGAGAATTAAAATTTCTATGTTTCAGAGTTTTTGAGTTGTCGAATTTAATAATATTCGAATCACACATTTCTGGGTATAGAAATGCATTATAATGTTGTGAATGCAGTTGGCTGTTGATTTTCATATATATATTTTTTTTTATCAATATTATTATTTGGGCTAAAGACCAATACTGAAACATTTTTCCTAATCCATTATTTAACTGCAGTTCAGCTATGAGTTTTTCTGCTTGAGCTCCTCATGCCCAGATTTTCTTCTCCATTACTAAAAAAAAAATCACCCAAGACTGCAGTTATTTTCAATTTGAATAGAATTATTCTTTAGCTCAATTCTTCTCTGCTTCTTTTTCTCTCTCTCTCTTTCTCTCAAGGTTAAAATGCCGCGTTAGCATTGACATTGGTTGCTTGGTTATATAAATCGTAGCTACGATTTTCATTTCCTTCTAGCCAACGAAGCACAAAATTATTTGCTCAAGTGTGGGTGTGTGTGCATTCATACTGAAGCCATCTTAAAATCGTTTGTAGGCATTTTCATGAAATTACAAAATATAAAAGTTTTGTTTTTGTATTTGTGTGGGTGAATTTTTTTTGCTTCAAGTTTAAGGCAAAGGTGTAACGCCCGCATACACATGCACAAAGCTTGAAGGTATTTTGTGGTTGAAAAATAACTCACACAAACCGAAAAAGTTTCTTGCTTGCTAAGGCAAAAAGAAAATCCATAAAGAAACTGAGGGAAATTAATGGAAAAAATTGTTTTACCAATTTGGTTCCACAGAAAATTATTATGCACATTTTGCATTTGTTTCTTTTTTTCGAAAAAATATTTATGAAATGAAACATTATAATATAAGATTAATTATAAATTAAAATAATATAAATTAAAATAATATAAAAGCAAAAGAAAATTAATAAGAAAAATAAAATAAAAAAGAAAAAAAAATTTAATGGAATAAAATAAAATAAAATAATATAAAAAAAAATAAAATAAAATAAAATAAAATAAAATAAAATAAAATAAAATAAAATAAAATAAAATAAAATAAAATAAAATAAAATAAAATAAAATAAAATAAATGAAATAAAATAAAGCAAAATAAAATTAAAAATTGATAATAAATTAATAATTGGTAATATAAAAAATCAAAAAGTAATAACCTAACTCACACCCTGTTAACTTTCTTCTTCCATTTAACTTCAAATAAACTCACGTGGATTTGAGCATTCCAATATACTTATATAAGTAAAAAAAAAAAGATTTATAGATGCATATATCTCGTACGTTCGCTGCAATGCTTAAGCTTCTTTTCTGCTTTAATATTTTTGTTCAAAAGAAATTTCAAGTGGAAAAATACACCTTAACACTTTTTGTATTGCTTGGCAAATTTTAATATAAAATTTTAATACTTTTTTATCGCATGAATGCATTTAATGTAGGAAAAAATAAATATGATATTATTAATTTTCTTTCAACTCGAAAACTCTGAAATATTTAGTTGGAAAGTTTAGAGAGAATAAATATTGTTTTTTTTTTTTTTTTTTTTTGCTTTAAAAATGCACTTAAAGCTTCGACAGCTGAGCTATTTGCTCTGCAGCTGACTATGCATACATTTACGTACACACACATACACACATGTATCGATTTTTGAATTATGAAAATTCGAAAAATATATAAAACGCAAAACCAAAAAGTCTTATGCAAAGACAAACTTCTGAAATCTGCGAACTCTCACTTGAACTTAACTTCACTAGAATGTCTCATTTAAATATAATATTTTAAGAAATTTTCTAAAAAAAATATTCGCTTTTGCTTAATACGACAGTATACTCAATCGTGCGTTGGCTGAAATTTTAATAAAAATGTTTATATAGACGTTTCATATCCATTGGAATATGAATAGAATATTAATAAAGTAAATACATTGAGGGAACTACCTATATATATTTACATACATAGTACTGAAAACTTTACTATTTACTGCAATAGCTCATAGCGTAAATCCTAATAAAATATTTACTAACAACATTCATACAAACAAATAAATATTGAGTATACATACTTACAAGCCTACAGAAAACGAACATTGATTTCGAAAGAAATTTGAAGAAATCAATAAATAAATTGCTATAAATGTTATATACGAGTGTATGCTTGAATGACGTGTTGGTTGAAGTGCATATACTGCATAAATATACATATGTACGAGTATGTGTATGTAGTCCTACATCAAAATGTCCAAATTTTTGCTAAATAACTAAAAACGTGAAAATAATAGTACGAACTTAAGTATTTATAAATCGTAGGAAATATGAAAAAATTATGAATTATATAATAGTATTTTGCTTAAGTGAATATATATAAAAATACGTATGTTTGCATGTACGAATACTAGATGCTAAATTTATGTTAAGCATTTGCATTTCAATGCCAAAGTACCTGATAGCTTTAAGTTAAATACAATACATAAGTAATACCTATATATATAAACATAAATTCAAACACTTCAATATATGTATGTATATGCTTGAATGCATCTGAGTTTGCCTAAGTAAAACAATGTTTGCATAGAAGTTTAGAAATTAAAAGCTTCCGCATTTTTGATCCTTATAAAGCATGTGAAGAAATAAACGACAAAAAAAAATAGGAAAATGGAGAAACTTATAGAGACTAACTTTAATAAAATCTCTTTTATAATAACAAATCTTTAGAAAATAAAAAGTTTTTACTGCCCCTTTGGTTATTCGTTTTTCAAAAATCTCAGTAAAATGCACTGAATTAAAACGACAAAAAGTAATAAAAAAAAGTGAAATAAAATGAATTGAAATAAAAGATTACATAAATAGAATTTAAAGATGTAAAAAAATGTAATTTGAATTAATTGAAAATTAATTTAAATAACATACAAATATGTAAAATAAAATAAATAAGATTTAATAAAATGAAATAACATAAAATCAAAATCAAAAATAAAATGAAATGATGTAAATTAAAATGAAATAAAATAAAATAAAATAATATAAAATAAAATAAAATAAAATAAAATAAAATAAAATAAAATAAAATAAAATAAAATAAAATAAGAAATAACATAAAATCAAAATCAAAAATAAAATGAAATGATGTAAATTAAAATAAAATAAAATAAAATAAAATAAAATAAAATAAAATAAAATAAAATAAAATAAAATAAAATAAAATAAAATAAAATAAAATAAAATTAAATAAAATTAAATGAAGCAAAATAGAAAACATTTAACAAAAAATAAAGTAAAATGAAAAAAAATTATATTAAATTAAATGAAATTAAATAATATAAATGTATTTGAAATAAATTATAATAAAATAAAATATAGTAAAATAAAATAAAATAAATTATAATAAAATAAATAAAATTAGAAAACTAAAATAAATTAAATCAAATTAAATTGAAATGAAATGAAATAAAACAAGAAAAATTAAAAAACACTAAAAAAACACCAAATAGAATAGAAAATAAAAACTAAAAAAATAAAAATAAAATAAAATAAAAAATAAACAAAAAATAAAATAAAATAAAATAAAATAAAATAAAATAAAATAAAATAAAATAAAATAAAATAAAATAAAATAAAATAAAATAAAAAATAAAGTAAATTAATTTAAATCAAAATGAATTGAAATGAAATAAAGTAAAATGTAATGTAAGAGAGTGTTACGAAATGAAATGAAAATAAATTCAATTAAATATAATTAAATAAAGTTAAATTTAATTAAATATAGTAAATTAAAATAAAATTAAATAAAATAAAATTGAACAAATTTTAAGTAAATAAAGTAAAATAAACTTAACTAAAAAAATAAAATTAAATTAAATTAATTTAAACTAGTTAAACTAAATATTATTATAAATATATCAAAATAAATTAATACGAATTAAAATTGATTAACTTAAAATGAAATCATAAAATAACATAATTCACATAAACAAAGTGAACAAAAGCGAAAAAGAGTTTGCATTTTCGATGCGGCATTTTAACTTTTGGCTGTTTTCTAAAAGCATATTTGAATTTGCCAAACCAATTGCATTATTTTTCTTATCCGCTGAAAAGCGCGCTGGCAGTTTTGTAATAGATTTGAAATTTACTTCTGAATTTTTTCTTGCTTTGTCTCATCAAATTTCTCTCCAAATATTACCTAAACGAAAATTGCTTCGTCATCTTAGTGTCTTACAAAGAAAAAATAATATAAATTAAAATAAAAAGCCAAAAAATTATATTGTAAAAAAACTTTAAAATTAAATTAAATAAACCTGCTTAAAATCTAGTTGATATTATAAATATTATATTAGCCAATCGGCAAAATGTCCATAAATATGCTTGACACCATATTTTTGGCTATCGAGCTCATACAACAATACATACACGTATTATGCCTACATATGTGTTACTGTTGTTGTGTGCTTATTAAGCGTAAATTACTTTTTTTTTGGAGAAAATATAAAACCCAGTGAATGCTTTTGTCGTTTCTTAAAATTAAATGAGTATCAGTCAGATAATTTCGAAGTTAAAAGCTCATTCTAAATTTTTGCGATTTATTTTAATAAAAAACCAAAAAAAAAAAAACATCTCGTTTACAACGACAAGCAAATACCAGTGTACATTCAAATCTACAAACATATACTCATATAATGTTCTCATATAAAATAGAAATTATAGTAATAATTACATTTTAATTCTGTATATTCTGTAAAATTAAATTTTAATAAATATGAAATAATTATTCATACAAATTGACGCTTTAAATATATAAGTTTAGTGAATATTTTAAGTAATCGCTTAGAAAACTATCAATCAATGATTTGTAAATTAACATTTGTTTGATTGGATTGTCTGTCTGTATATGTGTATGTATGTACACCTATGCATTTGTATAAATGAACTTGGCGTATTTGCTAAATTTCCGCTTTATTTTCTCGAACAAATGAAGCGTTAAGGCCGAATTCACATTGTAAATCATTCATTAAATAATATTGTGTGCATTCATTCATTCATGCAAATAATTTGTAATATCATGCCTTATTCATATAAAATATATTGCATAAAAAGAATTCACACACAAATACACCCACACACACACTTATAGAGAGAAAGTGAAACAATTATTAACTAAGCTTGTATATTTCTAATTTATATTGATTGATGATAATAGTATTATTTAGCATTTAGCTTTTTTTGTTTGGCTTGACATGAGTTTAACGAATTAAATTATCTAAGTAGTTAATGGAATTATTTTAAGCTTTCCACACACACATATACAAATATGTATATATATATATATATATATATATACTATGTTAGGTGTAGTAAAAAGTAATCCATTATTTTTGTGTGATTTAATTTTTTACTTTTCGTATTCAGCCTTATTCAAATGGTTACGAACGGTTTGTTGTGTCACCTTTAGCTCTGGGGCAATCGAAACGGTGCTAACATGACGGCCGGACTCGACAAATGTTCATAGTCTTACCGACTTATAATGGATTAATTTTTACTACACCTAATATAATATATTTATACATATAAAAATATATATTAAAATATATATATACA